CTCCACGTCAGTTGCTACCAGCCTCACTTCTTTTTTCCGGATGGTGCAAGTATTGCCTGCTCTTATGGTTTCTTCACGCTTTCGAAAAGTTTTACAGACCCAAAGAATTTCTTGGCAAAACTTCTTTACTGCTGTCGCACTCGAGTTGGGAATCAATCGATAATCTTGTAAGGTGAGACACCTTCGAGCGTCCTTAGCGCTCTTCATTATTCAGAACGTCTTTGGACTAGTCCCCAAGAGAGAAGCGACCTGTTAACTTCGATAATTTCTATCTTTAGTACATTTAAAATCCTTTTTCGTTGCAAAACAGTTTACCTGCTTTACACCAAAATTTAATGCAGGCTTACAGTCGAGGATGTGTACGTTCTTTGTGGAAACTGTATTCTTTATAAATAGTACTTTTTGTGATCGTCTAATCCTGTTATTAGGTGATTTGCTTTGATTCACTTCATGTATTTTCGGGAACAGGCGAGCAACTGTTATGTATCACTAAATGGCAACTGCCCCTTTCAAAGAACAGCTAATTGCTGTAGTCTCATCTTCAACAATTAGGTTTTTATATGAAAATAAAGAGAAAATCGTTGTCCCATGGATGGGATCAGAGATCGCTCGGTAAAAAGAAAACCTATAAGCATCGAAAACAAGGTAGAAATGGGAGACCTTAGCTGGTGATGGTAGAAATCAGGTTGCCTAGTTGCAGAATATGATTTTAACAGCGCTACACGCATTTATCTATACTTTATTTTCGCGATTCACATTCATAGTTCAAGCCATTGTATAACATACGTTTTACATGTTACTTTTAGTATCTACAAAACTTTACCGTTCAAATTTCAAATCTCTGGACTTGTTCGTAGTAGTTCTTTCCTTCTTCTTCACAAATGAAATTCCTAGACATCCCACACATTTTCAAGAACTTTGCATCGATGGTATATGTAAGTTTTTTCAAACTTATCAAGTAAAATTTCCTCTCCCTTGGCGGCCTTGAATGAATCCTTTTTCCATGTTGTGTCCTTTCGTAGAACTGAGAAATGGTCTGTGTAACATATCCGTATTTGTATGCAGATGGATCAAACGTCAGAAAAAGTTACCTTGACTTTCAGCATCCAAGGAAAGAAGAGGATTTTAAGAAGGATCGCGATTTCTTTCGGCGACAACATGAGTTCTCAAAACAAAGAAGGTATGTAGAATCCTTCCGAAGTTTGGGAAAAAATTAAAATAAATCTTGTCGTCATTTCGTGTAACAATTGTGTTTCTTCTGTAATTTGAACATTGTTAGCACGTTTTGATATATTTTGGTCACAAAGT